CTCGCTCTTCCATCCTTCCTGTGCTCTTTTTCTTTGATAGTAACAGTGATTAGCTAGCCATCTTCAAAGTGGGCACAGTCCCCACTTATGAAAAGAAACTAAAAGTCCGAGTACACCCATACACATATAATAGGTATTTTTTTGTTGTAGATACAATATGTGTGTATGAACACATACACAAATAAGTATACATGTGTATGTATCATATACTATTACATATACGCACATATGTATATACATGTAAAAATACTAGTATGTATACATTATCCTTACCATAGACATAAATCTTTAGTAAACATACATTTATAGTAAAGAAAATCTGCATTAAGCATTAGTTATCTCAGCTTTAAACTTTTAGCTAAGATACACCTAAAATTTTTCTTTTTTCTATTTTTTTTTTTTTGTTAACACAAGGGATTCTTTTGGGAACCTGGGGGTGGGATGGGCACCACTAGCATCAAGTGTTTCCACAGACTCATCGGTGTAGTCTTTCAAAATAATATATTTTTATTAATTCTTTGAGGATTTCCTCCAATGTATTCTGAGCATATTCACCCTCCACTCCTAGCTCCTCCCAGATCTAGCCCTTCCCACCCTCCCAACTTCACTTCTCATTTCCCCATCAGGGTCATCTTGAGGTTATGTTAACTAGGAGAGTCAGGGGAGAAGGCTTCCTAAGGAGGCTTCTTCTCTGGTAGGGCAACTTTCTTAAATAATGGCACCAGTTTACAAGTTCCTTTTCTGTTTATTCCTGCCTTTCTCCCCAACAGATAGAACACAGACTTACTCTGTGTATAGATCTCTATCTGTCCATATTTGTAGTCCTGGCTCGACACATAGGAGGCCCTTTGCAAACATGAGCTGAAGGAGTGAGCGACTATTAGGGCAATTTTCCCTCTGCTGCTTCTCCCTACAAAAATACATTTTGCACGCAGCCTGGACCCTGGCTGAGGAGAATGTTGTGATGTTGCTGGTAGCCACCATCTAGAACTACCTCTCCACACAGCCCCTTCAGCAGCATCCTCATCCCTCTGTCTTCCCACTCTGAGCCCTGAGGAATTGCACTAGGCAACATTTGACTACTATGGAGGAGCTTGGTATCAGAGAGGCAGGTGCCACCAGACATGACTGAGCTGCCATGTGCCCCAGCATGCTTTCTTTGGAGAAGTCTTGCATAAATGTGGGTGTTTCACATATTTCCTGAGTGGAACAATTGTCTTCTGGCCACTTCCCCCTTTCCAAAAAGCAGTCTGTGGGCACAGCTCTTTGCTTTTAATTCCATGGTTTAGAGATTCTCATTCCCTTAGCAAGATTGTTTATTTCTCTGGAATCTACAGTGTGTCATAGCAACATAACACATGAGTTTTCCTGTATCAAGAAGAGGTAGACATTCGTACAGTTTAAGTGACATTTAAGTGTCTCATCAGATGAGGAAAGAGGTCTCAATAGTGCTGAAATCATGGGACTCTTGCAAAAGCTCCTGGGGATTGGCTTGTGGCATTCACAGAAACACACAGTGTTACCAGACAATCCCCGAGCTCATGGAAGATTACATTCTGTGCTGCAGTGTGTTAGGCATGAGTAGAGGTAAAGCCACGTGTTACATGGAACACGAACGAACGAACCTCGAATGTGTTAGTAATGCTTGCGCCTGGTGTTTGGTTGGAGGGAAAAAACCCTCAAACTAACTTTGACCATGGCAGATATGAACAAAGTGTAGTTAAAAAGCACATAGGAGACAGTGGAGCCTCAGGAAAGGCCTGCTCTAGTTGCTTTATCTCTTTTTAGATTTTATTTATTTGTTTTCTGTCAGAGTCTCAATACAAGGCTTCAAACTCACTGTGTATCCCAGGCTAACCTGGAACTTTCCACCTTCTTGCCTCTACCTCCTGAGTGCTGAGAATATGGGTGTGGGTCACCTCACTCACTGCTGAGGGTGTGGGCATGTCCCCACCATACTCTGCTGAGAATGTGGACATGGGCCTCCACATTCATGTCCATTTTGTTTTGTTTTTGTACACATCCTAGCCCTGCATCTTAAGTGTCCACTTTATTCTTAGCAGCCTCAGGAGTCGAAGAGTGGCACCTGGGGCTAACTTGTTCCAGGTTGGGATGCAATAGGCAAGAGAAAGTCTCTTAAGATTTCAGATTTGACATAAATCATGTGTCATTTTTTTCATCTTAAAAATGGGAAGATGGGTTGTGTGGTTGGTTTAAGTGAATCTGAGCCTGACCCTGAAGTTGTAGATGGGAACTGAACTCATCATGATACAGCACGTATTGGAGGTGATGGAGAAAACAGTCAAATGCACCTGCTGCTTACAGGATTGGATTTGGAGCATAAAAAGCATGTGTGTGCATGTGTGTGCATGTGCATATGATGTGTGTGATGCATATGATACGTATGTAGCATATGTGTATATGTACACACATGCATATAAAGCCTGGTACACAGCCAGTGACCTTTCTACAGATTGATGTAAGCTGTCTATTCTGTTGTTATATGGAATTCAGGAGGCTGAGGAACAGTTCAGTTAGTAAAGTGTTTGCCTTACAACACAAAGGTTTGGCTTCCACCCTCAGAGCCCATGTACAGAAATGGGGCTGGAGGAAGGGGTCATTTGTAATCACTGGACAGCCAGCCTAGCAGCTGCACAGATGTGAAAGTGTGTGTGTGGGTGCTCCACGTGCAGAGTCCCCTTCTGACATTATTGTTCCGAAGCTACGGAACCTTGTATAAAATATTCTCTCTGAACCTTGGCTTTTCCTGTAATGGAATGGAAAAAAATAGTACCCATTTCACAAGAATGTTCTAAGGATAGAACAAGTTACAAAAGGTCAAGTTCTTAGAATACTTGGTAAATATTAGCTGTCACCACCACCACCACCATCATTCACTGTTGTCCTCTATACCACCAACTTGCTCAAACCTCTCATCATAGCTTTTTCAAACATCTGTAGTGATATTTATACACATACACAATGAACGGAATTCATCTATAAAGAAAAATTAAATCATGAGCAAACATCTCATCATAGCTTTTACAAACATTTGTAGTGGTATTTATACATGTACACAATGAATGGTATTCATCTATAAAGAAAAGTTAAATCACGAGATTTGCTGGTAAATGGATGGAACTTAAAAATATTATATTGGGTGAGGCCACACAGCTCCGGAAGGATAAGTGTTGCATATTTTTCTTATCTGTATTTCCTAGCTCCACGTCTCTAGGGATGAGTATAACTCAGAGTAACCACAGGAAGCAGGAAAGTAAAAGTGACCATGGGAGGAAAGGGGAGGAGCACAGAGACAGGAAGAGCAAGTTAGAGATTTATGAAGGGGATAAAAAACAGGGGGCTTTGACTGGGAAGTGGGGAGGGAGGTCAGTAAAACACCTCCCATCCTTACTATATTGATTCTGTACCTCATCATGTCTTATCACCTCAATCTTGTTATGTTATCTTTGTGAGCAAGATAAGAGTTCAGCTTCCTGGGAACATAGATAAATGGGTTTATAAGTGATTAAATAAAACATTCACTACATTTTCAAAGATTCATACTGAGATGAATAAAATACATTCAATATATAGTATCTAGAGTATGTGTGTGCATATACACATGCATGGTCTCTACCTTATTCAATATATAGTATGTAGAGTATGTGTGTGCATATACACATGCATGCTCTCTACCTTATTCAATAGATAGTATCTAGAGTATGTGTGTACATATACACATGTATACGCTCTACCTTTATTTCTTAGTTATTTTTGAGGCAGGGACTCTCACAGGCTGTAGCTTGGCAAGCAGGCTAGGCTGGCTGTCCAGTGATTACAAATGACCCCTTCCTCCAGCCCCATTTCTGTACATGGGCTGAGGGTGAAAGTCAAACCTTTGTGTTGTAAGGCAAACATTTTACTAGCTGAACTGTTCCTCAGCCCCCTGCGTTCTATATAACAGCAGAATAGAGAGTTTACATCAATCTGTAGAAAGGTCATTGGCTGTGTACCAGGCTTTATTGTTTCAGTAATATTTTCTTTTCCAGTGGTCTTGTCCTTTTTAATGTATTTGTCTTTAGCCTTATAAGAATATATAAATCACATGTACTTGAAGTTTTCTGATGGCACAAAGAAGGAATTACAAGTTAAAACAATAGTTTAAGGCCACATGAAAGATTTTTCATATTAATATTAAAAGTAAATGCTTAGGGTGATTAAAACTCAACATGGAAACACAGTGAGATGCAATTTCCAAAAGGCTAATGAAATGCTAGGGTGAGTTAACAGAAGAGTACAGAACATGTGGCAGCTAAGTCTTGTTCTTGAGCCACGCCTGTGTTTAGTATTTGGATGTAGGCACTGTGTCTTAACACAAATGTAGAGGAGCTGGGATGGATTCTGAAGAGGGTAGCCAGGAAGGAATTGCTATAAAAAGTCATGGAGAAGCTGTGGGGTTTGGGATTGTGGGTCAGAGACAGAAGGTGTAGTGCATTCTGTGAAAAGCCTTCAAATATTGGAATACATCATCAGGAAAGGCCTTAGACTTGGTCTAGGAGACTCAAGGGACATGCCTTGGCATAGAGCAAGAGATTATAGTGAGACAAAATTACTTTTTTTTTGTAATAAAGATTGTTTCTGGTAATTCCCTTCCAAAATAAGGACAGGCTACCTTGTAAGCAGTGGGTTTCTCATCCCAGATCTCTAGACATTGAAATCCCTTGTCAGTTTCCCAAGTGGATCATACTTTGGAGAGATAGACCAGACTGATCATCATCCAAATGCAAATCTGTGCTCCAGCATGAGCCCAGGGATCCTCAGGCAACACAGTGGGCACTCTTGCAACATCTACCAGAGACTGCACAAGAGGAGAAACATCTCAGAAGCCAACCTGTGTGTGATAAGCTGTGACTGTCTGGGTGATATGACACAGAGTGTGAGAGTTGTAAATGGGCAATGCCTCTATGCAAGCTAACATGATGCTGTTTCTTTTTTTTCAGGACAATCGTATCCATACGTCCAAGTACAACATTCTCACATTCTTGCCAATCAATTTATTTGAGCAATTCCAAAGAGTGGCAAATGCCTATTTTCTTTTCCTTCTGATACTACAGGTAATCTTTTTTTTGAGATTAATTTTTTTTATTAGTAACTTTTTAAAAAAGTGTTAATCAAAGACTTTAAACGTTTGGTAATGTTCAGTAACAAGATGCCCGTACAATCAGAACTGTAACCCAATACCCAACCTAGATATACCAACTGTTGTTGACTGGCAGAGACAAGTGAACATCTGCCTCCATGTTCCCCTCCCCCTCTCTCTTTCATCTCCTAGCTCCTCCTCTCCTTCTCCTCCTCCTCTCCTTATTCTTCCTCTTCCTCTCCTTACTCCTCCCACCTTAGCTCCTCTTACATATCACCCTTCCTGTTAAAATAAAGCTTTTCTCTCAAAATACAATTAGAGCATAACTATACCAATTTGTTTCAGTAAGGTACAAGATAGACCTAATACCCAGCCCATCATTTTGTTGACTAACCAGAACCTCTGTCATCTCTCTTAACTAAAAGACTTAGTTCTGAACCTAGCTTTTTTCTTGGCTTTAGAATGAATGTCAGCTGAAAACCATCCTCTCAAATCATTTCTGTCAAAGAAAGTAGCCGGGATTGGCTATGAGACTATAAGTCTTCAACCCCGTCAGAAATCCAGAATGACTGAATTAACTGAAATTATGGGAAGCACCAAGCATAGCTTCTAAAACTTAGCCAATTTATAGAGACCTCTGAACACCTGGACAGTCCCTATGCTACAAAACATTGGAGCAACTGATCTTCAGTTTTCTGGCCCAGGTTCATCTAACAAACCTAGTGATGCAGAATTATTAAGGGCTGATTACTCTGTCTTGGCAGATATAATTAGTCAGCTATTCTTCAAGTGTGTAATTTTCAGGACAGTAATTTGTCTGTAGATGAAAAGAGGCAATTCTTGCCTAGTGGTTGTCTCACCACAACTGGAGTAACTCCAAAGATGCTCAATTTATTCTTAGAATCCAAGACAGGAAGCTGTCAGGAGCAGATAGGTCTCTAATCAAAATGAACCTTAATGTAGAAATGTTTGTAACGTCAATTCTGTGGACTTCTGACATTTTGAAAACCAACTATTCATGTAAGGCAATGTGGACTGCTGTCTGTTAACTCCTCTCAGCTATTTCTAAATAAAATATAGAAAACACCCTAACAATAAACTCAGAGCCATGAATTTGCTATAGGTCCTTAACTCCCAGGCTAACCATCTCAAATCAGTTAACATATTAAAGAAGGACTGGGCCTAAGCCTTGTATTCCTAAATGTGTTATATAGGCACAATGCCTATGAGAGTAACAATATCAATCTCACTTTTGTATCAATAAGAAACTCGTACCAATGAAAACCTTAAATTTGAAATCAAAGTAAAATTTGTACCATTTAAGAAATTATAACTTCAGCTTGATAACAATTATACATATTTATACCAATACGTTATGGCTATGCAATAAATCCTAGCTATTCCTCCCTGTTCCAGCAAAACCACTACTTTTCCCTAGAAGGACAGCCCAATATCAACCACCTCAGTCCCCAAGCCCAGGGAATAGGGGCGCCAACTCTTCATTAACTTCTTCAAGCTGATTATGGCCGTTGAGATATTAGAAGAAGGGCAGGGGGAAGAATAAATTGATAAGCCTCAGACATCTGTGTCTTCACTGCATCCAGCTGAGGTTCCAGGACATCAGAGGTTCGAGCAGGTCGGCTCAGCTTGCTTGATGAATAGATACACCAAACCTGTGTATTCAGCAATATACAATTCTCAAAACAAATTTTAGTATCAAGATAATTCTTTGTTTGAATTTTGGAATCTAGTCTTCTGGTGGCCTGCCTCTGTCATGTCTAATCCATATAATTCTGGGAGTTTCTATGAGGGTGTGCTCCCACCATCCTCCCATTCCAGCTTCCCTGCTCTCAAATTCCCCAACACTAGGGAATCCAAACTATCAGGCACCAAGGCCTTCTACTTCCACTGATGCCTGACAAGACCACCCCCAAATTACCTATACAGGTGGAGCCATGAGTCCCTCCCTTTGTGTTCTTGGCCTGGAGGTTTTAGAGTGGCTACTCCAGCTTGTTTCTTAGGACCATTTGCTTGAAAAATTGTTTTCTAGCCTTTTACTCTAAGGTAGTGTCTGTCTTTGTCACTGAGGTGCATTTCCTGTATGCAGCAAAATACTGGGTCCTGTTTACGTATCCAGTCCGTTAGCCTACGTCTTTTTATTAGGGAATTGAGTCCACTGCTGTTAAGGAACAGTGATTGTTGCTTCCTGTTATTTTTGTTATTAGAGGTGGAATTATCTTTGTGTGGCTATTTTCTTTTGATTTGTTGGAAGATTTGTTTCTTTCTCTTCCTAGGGTGTAATTGCCCTCCTTGTATTGGAGCTTTCCTGCTAATATCCTTTGTAATGATGGGTTTGTGGAAAGATATTGTGTAAATTTGGTTTTGTCATGGAATATCTTGGTTTCTCCGTCTAAGGTAATTGAGAGTTTTGCTGGGTATAGTAGCCTGGGCTGGCGTTTGGGTTCTCTTAGGGTCTGTATGACATCTGTCCAGGTTCTTCTGGCTTTTATAGTATCTGGTGAGAAAGTCTGGTGTAATTCTGATAGGTCTGCCTTTATATGTTACTTGGCCTTTTTCCCTTACTGCTTTTAATATTCTTTCTTTGTTTTGTGCATTTGGTGTTTTGATTATTATGTGACTGGAGGTATTTCTTTTCTGGTCTAGTCTATTTGGCATTCTGTAGGTTTCTTGCATGTTTATGGGCTTCTTGTTCTTTAGGTTAGGGAAGTTTTCTTCTATAATTTTGTTGAATTTATTGGCCATTTAAGTTTGGAATCTTTACTCTTATCTATAACTATTATCCTTAGGTTTGGTCTTCTCATTGTGTCCTGGATTTCCTGGATGTTTTTGTTAAGAACTTTTTGCATTTTGCATTTTCTTTGACAGTTGTGTCAATATTTTCTATGATATCTTCTGCTCCTGAGATTCCCTCTTCTATCTCTTGTATTCTGTTGGTGATCCTTGCATCTATGACTCCTGGTTTTTTTTCTAGGTTTTCTATATCCAGGATAGTCTCCCTTTGTGATTTCTTCATTGTTTCTACTTTCATTTATATGTCCTGGATGGATTTGTTCAATTCCTTCACCTGTTTGGTTGTGTTCTTTTGTCATTCTTTAAGGGCTTTTTGTGTTTCCTCTTTAAGGGCTTCTACCTGTTTACCTGTTTTCTCCTCAAATTCTTTGAGAGTGTTATCTATGTCCTTCTTAAAGTCCTCTGTCATCATCATTAGAAGTGATTTTAAATCTGAATCTTGCTTTCCTGGTGATATGGGGAATTCAGGACTTTCTAATCCTGAATTTTTTAGTGGGAGAACTAGGTTCTAATGATGCCAAATACCCTGGGTTGCTGATGCTTATGTTCTTGCACTTGCCTTTCACCATCTGGATCACCTTAGTTCTGCCTGCCCTGTTTCTTACTGGATCCTGTATTTCCTATTATCTTGGTTGTTTCAGAACTGTGTGGGGTGGGTGTTACTACTGCTGTTAGAGCTGGGGCCCAAGATCTGCTCAGTGTTTGGGCCCAAACTGGAAGGAACCAGTGCTCCGGGCCAGGAGTGAATTCCTGGATCCCAGTGGGTCCCAGTTACTCCACTACAGGTAATCTTTAAGCTGTATTTCTTCATTATCTATTTGTTGAAAGTATTTCTATAACTACTTAGTTAAATTGCTTGAGATTATATAAGACTATTCTTATTAGATTTTTTAGTGTTATTACTACTTTTTTAATCTTAAAGGTAACAATGATGGGAGAGAGAGAGAGAGAGAGAGAGAGAGAGACAGAGACAGAGACAGAGAGAGGACATATTTCACTTTTCTGTTGTATTAGCTCTGATGGCATCTGTCTCCTTAGTCAGTCACTGTTGCTCCAGGATTTTGTGCAATTATTGTCTTGAGCACATGTCAAGACACTGCCCAGGATGAAGTCAGTTCAATAAAACCAAAAGAACTGAAATTAGAGGGTTTGAAATCTCCCTCAGAAAAAAAGATATAGTTAAGAATAACTGGATATTTCTTGTGCAAAAAAAAAAAACAAAACAAAAACAAAAATAAAAAACAAAAATACCCAAACAAGATCAAACCAGACCAGACCAGACCAGACCAGACCAGACCAGACCAGATGAAACTAACCAACCAAAAGAACCTAATGAGTGAACAAATTGCTATTCATGAAAGGAAATGTAGCCCAGGGTCTGTACTCTCAGTGTCATAAAGTTGCTTTTGTATTCCTGATGAAGCCTCTCACAGCATTCCAGAATTTGAAATTGATTTTCTAATAGCATTCTTAGAGTTTCAGGCTTTTGTTCATTCAATTTTATGTTTGGAAGGGACAGTTGAGATGGGTCTTTTTAATATTGTTTATTGATGAATGTCTGGGAATGTGAAGGGGAGATACTGTGTAAAGCAATGGATTAGCAATCGGGGAGCAATAGTGGGATCTTCTGCTGTTCACCCAGTATTTCTGCTGCATCTCCAGGTATCTTTTGCTTTGTTTTCTTATTGTGTCTAAGTTATTTTTATTTGAATTGACATGTAATGATATACATATTTATGAGATATAGTGTGAGAATTCAGATTATGCACACAGTATGTAATGGTCAAGTCAGGGTGATTAGCTTTCTATATCCTTAGGCATTGATTAGTCCTTTGTGTTGGGAAGCCTTGACCCAGTATCTCCCGGTTGCTTATTTGACCTGTAGTCACCAAGTGTATTGCAGGATGCTGGAACTTAGTTCTATTAACTAACACTCAGGGTTTGGTTTTTTTTTTTTTTGAGATTTAAGAAATTGCACAGAATCTATTATATAAAATTGATTTGGTTTTGAAATATTTGTGGGGCTTGGTATCCCCTGCATGATAGTCTCTACTGGATTGTTCTCTGCCTGACAGCCCTGAAGCAGATTCCCAGTGAATCCGATTTGTTTAAAAACCCAAAACAAAACATATTTGTCTAAATAGGGTCACATGCTTCTTACTTCGTTTGTCTTAGGTAGTAGCACAAGAGGTAGAGGCACACAGAGATAGTGTGAGAGTCAAAGAGACCCAGGTACATATTTTAGCAGTGTTTGTGTTTGCTAGGATTTTCAATGCCTTAGATGCTTCAGTTGTAAAACTGGGATAGGAAAATAAGGACATGATATCAGCTCTTCAGATTGTTTTGACTCATTCACAATGTATTCTTCTCATGGTAGGGGAAGCATTATGAATGTGGAAACATATCCCATGAGTTCGTACAAATCATTCTAGCATAGAAACTAAATCAAATTTTCAGAGCATCCATTGATTTAAGATGCAAATACCTGGGTAGCCCCCTTTCTAAGGTAGATGATCAGAGGGTCTCTGGCCAGTGTTGTGTTTGGTAACTTCCTAAAGACTGAGATGAGAAGCTGACGGAGCAGTGACAATGTAACAACCAGCTGAAAGATGTGTATCTGAGAAAGAGTGCAAGAACCCCGTTTTTAAGTTTTTATTTTATTTTAATCAGTGTGAAAGTTAGCAAAAAAGTATTTCTCAATATGTTTTGCAATTGAATGCCTACAATGGAATCCCCTTAGCTAGTTTACTTTTGTACAGCTAGCCGAACATAATTCCATTTATTTCTGCAAGTCTTATACAATTAATTGACAAAGTTTAGAAGATGATGTATTTCTAACTGAAAAAGTCCTAAACGACTGAAAATGTTGCTTCAGCTCATTCCAGAAATCTCTTCCCTGACATGGTTCACCACCATTGTGCCACTGGTCCTGGTGATCTCTATGACAGCTGTCAAGGATGCTACTGATGACTATGTGAGTATTCACATCTGAGAATGCTTCATGTTTCCATTTGAGTTGTATTTCTACCTTTTCAGAAACAGAGATCTAGCCAGAGGGGCTAAAGAGTGGCCAAGTGTGAGACAGGGGAAGGCTTGTAATTGATTTATGTGATGTTCCTTCACAGTTGCTGTATTTATAATTTTTAATAAATCTGTAATTTGATCTGAGCCATTTAAAATTGGCCACACACAAGTGTATAATGCAGTTGCTTAATGCTTTATGTGTCTGTCCCCTAATGAAGTGCTTAACGAATTTCAAGGTATTCATTGATACTATGACATCCGAGGTTGAAAATGAGAAAGCCTGACACAAGTATGATGTGTGTATATGTGTGTTTGTGTATGTGTGTGTATGTATGTATGTATGCAGGCATGTATGTATATATCTATTTATACACACATATTTTAAAATACAAAAGGGAAATCACTTATTCTCATGATCACGTCTATGAACTAAAGCTTCATGTCTTTGAAAACACCCCTGTTCATCTGAGGGTGTGTACTAACTTTGTCCCTGGGTTAGCTTAGTGTCTCTATGATACATGTGTCTCTAATTTGGAATCTTGTTATTGGGGCTTGACAGTTCATATAGAAACTCTTATCTGAATGGCTTCTAGTTTTGGAGCCTAAAGGAAAGCTCCTAATATTTGGTTTTCCCTAGAGATATAAGATGCTTACTTTGCTGGAGCATTCAGTACAAAGTCTGATCACTTGGTCATAAAACATAAACTTATGCCAAGTGTGATTAGTATTTCATTCTGATTTCTGTTTTAAGTGGGTAGTGTTGCATAATATTACTGTTAACCATTAGAATTTCTGAAGAATAAAATATATATTGTTAAAAGCAATTCCTCAGCTTTTAAGAAAACCACAGGGCAGACTGATCTGCTGTAGCAAGTGCAGACTGTGCATGTGAGGGATAGAACTCCCACTTTCTCCTGGAAGCTCTCAAAACTGGTGTAGGTCTTCTCTGGACTATGAGGCAAATATGCCATGTTCTTAGACACAACTAGAAATGTGTAAGGATTAGAGTTGTGGGTCTAGTGTGCAGTATATGTGTGCATGTGACTGCACATAGAGAGAGGTTTCTGGTGCTGATGTGTGTGCCAGGATGAGATGTAGGAAGTTGAGCGCTGATTTGCTGTGCATGGAACTCTGCTCCAGGTAAGTGCAAGCTGTATTCATGTTTGGACAGCAACATTGTCCAAACAGATGAACTCGAAATATGCTCAGTGTTGCTGTTAGGATCGATGACCGTCTCTCTTAAACTTTGCTTTTTTTCAGTTCCGTCACAAGAGTGATAATCAAGTGAATAACCGGCAGTCTGAAGTGCTCATTAATAGCAAGTAAGAAATCTGTTCTTTGGGCTTCCTTCCTTCCTTCCTTCCTTCCTTCCTTCCTTCCTTCCTTCCTTCCTTCCT